AATTTTGCTGCATCACTAATCGATTTTGTTCTTTTTGTTCTTGGTGTGTAGGATGAGAACTTTTCCAGGAAATATGAGATTTGAATTTCATGTTTTTATGTGATTGATTTCTGAAGAATTCTAATTTCAAATGAATAAAATATTTATGAATAAAGTTCGATTTTTCATAAACAACAAAATTATTCAGAAATTTGTCTGCACGAGCTACTCTACCCACACGCAAATAAACTACCGATTTCAATTCATTTCATTGTTGAAATGCGCTGCAATTTACGATCTGATTTTGCATAACTTTTTCTTTCGCTTCTTAATCCATTCCTAAGAAGTCACTAAGAAAATAAGAATCAAAAAAACAGAAGAAGAATGAATGAAAAATCATTTCTTTATTCATTCTCGATTTCAGTATAGAAATGAGTTTCGAATGAAATATATTTACGATCGAATAAGTCAAGCATTACAAGCAAACATTTCCGTATAAAATTTTTTTTTCTCATCACATTGAATTCTCACATGAAAAACAATGAGAATGTGTTGGATATTGTAGGAGATTAAGGGTTAATAATGACGCATTTTTAAAAATTAATAAGGGTCAATTTTAAGCTTTAATTCAAAGAATTTTGAATATCCATCTGATGAGCTCAAGAACGTTCTCTTTACTCGTATAAAACAGTTATTGAATGGACCAGCCGATGCCCTCTTGATCTAATCTAGTGATTCTAACTTGATTTGTCGAACTCACGGGCCCCCTCCCCCCTCATGAATAAAAGTTATTATGAAGGAATCCACAGTCGACCCTCTAAGTACCATATTTTATGCCCCTCCCATCTTCTCTTTACTATTTCCTAATATTCAAACAAACCTTAGCTCAACTAACAGAAGCAACTCTCCTTAATTCCCCAAAAATATGCTAAAAATTTGCATTTTCAATACTGCCATTCAAGCATACACAAAAAAACAAAAGGGATATGTACATTATTATGGAGCCATATCACATCATATACATAAATACATACATGTTCGACATGTTATGCTCAACATAGGTATGGAGGTAGACATCAATAACATACACACTAAAGAGAATATATCTGTATGAAAAGCAGGACAACATTTTGCATTTGAGTATTGTGAATAAATGTTGTTTTTCGATGTCATGAGAATTGTATTTGCTTTATAGAGTTATAGGGCATTTGGGTGGGATATGCGGAAGAAATAAAAATACACATTTTTTGAATGTATATAATATGAAATTGTACTGAACAAATAAAAATATATATCAATAAAAAAAAATCTTTGAAATAAAGTAAAATTATTTGTGATGATTTTAAAGTTCAATATATTTTTATTTGTTTGCAAATATTGATGAATTTTGATGCGATTGTTGTTTATGAATTTGTAAATATTTCAAAAAAAAAATACTTTTCGGATTTGATGGAATAAATTTTATATTGGATGTCAATATTTTGGATGAATTGTTGGGGATTGGAAAATAGCAAAATCTAAAGCAGGTATGGGAGCAGCAATAAATTTCTCTACCCTAATCACAATTCTAGTCAATCAAATTTTAAAAGCTACCATAATATTCTTTTATATCCAAAACACCAGTCAAAACTAAAAATCAAGCATCAAACGTGCAAAACTCTCCAGAATCCAAAAAAGCTCTTGTAATCCCTCCAAAAAACCTCAGCTTCCTAACCTTTGCCACTTCTTCTTCCACCTCACCGAAAAGTCGTTAAATTAAATTACACAAACATGATACGCAATGATAACAACTTTTATCAGCCTTTGCTATTTCCTCTTCTCCATTGTCTCATATATGTACACATTCCCATAAATACATACCCCAAAAAAAAAAAACAAAAAAAAAGAGTGAGAAAATGCGCGTTTTTTTCTTCTCTCGCATTCACAGCCATACAAAAAGACATTAAATATTAAACTGTTTATAGGTGAAGCAATCAAGCGCAATAACAACAACAATGACAATATAACAATATAACAGAATCATGGAAAAGGCATTCCCATGAGAGGGATACGAAGTGTGCACATACGGTATAAATACTTATGCAAAGCATATACATATAAATAAATTTATGTGCTGCTCATCGCGTTGCTTTTTGTATTAAAGAAAAATTGGGTCTATTCATCACGAAATATACTCACATTTATGCTACAATTCAGTTCACTTCATATTATATTGTGTTTTTGGTTGAGGTTTTTTGAGAGAACTTGAGGATGTATTAAGAAGCATTTTGTCCTATCTGAAGTGTTTTGCGAGTTGAGAATTATGCATTGAGGAGAGATGTGAATTGGTGAAAATACTCTAAATTCCATCTTCAGGGCAACTATTCTCACGTTGGATTTTATTAGTGTCAGGATACCTAGTTTATTTACGGAAGCAAGCTTGATAACCAGCAAAACCAGACTTCTTACCCGTTTGTTGGTTTTAACAATTTATTAAGGACCTAATTTACATAAAAAGTTCAAAACAATTAATAATACTTGAATTTTAAGTTCTGTTCCCCTCACAAGAAGTTTCTGGCTTCAAGCTTAGGGATTACAACATGCGATATGTTTTAAATTATTCTAAGACTAAGGAAGGGTTATCCAAGTAGCTCTAGAAACCTACTCCTAGATTTAATTACTTTTTCCACTTCCCTCCGCTACCTTTTGAAGTACTCGCACATAATTTTATTTTTTAACGCTTTAATGAGTTTTTCATACTTGCTCCTCAACCCTACCTCATATAATATGCTCACATACACTCACTTTATACACATAGGTGAATATTTTTGTGGTATTTTTGTGCAAGCAAAAAAGGATTTTTTTTTCTTTTTCACATTTCTGACTTTAAAATTGATTTTCATGCAGATTTTAATGTATATTCAAATGAATGTGCAGGATAGAATGGTTTAATGAGTGAAGTGTGAACCAAATTTATTAATTTTGGCTTGCAAAAACATCCATTTAATAAATTCATAAAGCTATGAAGCTGTCTGATGTATTTTATTGAATTAAAAAGTTTATTATTTTTTAGTTGAATATAAAACAAAATTTGGTTAATAAAGGATGGAGAAACTTTATCATGGGTTGTGCATGAAGATTGTCAACGTGTGTGTGTGTGTGAATGAAGCTTGTTGTGCAGTACAGATTTTTTTTTCTGGATGAATGAAGAAATTTATGTGTGTTTAAAAAATAAAGCTGAATGAAAACTTTTAAGACTCTTATAATCAATATAAAGTTAAGTTTGATTTTAAGAGCAGGACAGACAGTTTAAATAGGTTTAGCTGAATTAACATGCATATGTTTGCCCATGTAGATGAACCCTAGTTTTCAAAATCAAATTTATCATATTATTACATGATTATCGGCTGAGCTCAAAGTCGATGAAATTTTGCATAGAGTTGACTTCGCGAAACAAAATCGATGAAAATCTCGAATTTTATGTGCTTGATCTGATCTCAAATCTCTTACACCCGTTTCCATCCAAATACTTTGATTTAAAAGGGATCGGATTGATTCATCTTCTATGCATTAAATATTATCTAAAAGTATCTAATACCAAGGCTAACCATCTGCTTGGTTTTTTAGGGGGCAGTCCTCTATTTTTTTCATTTTCAAATATAAAATAGTTTTAATTTGTTCTGATTCATTCAGAAAACGAATAAAATTTGTAAACACGTGGGATGCCCTTCATTTAACTTTCAGGTCCTCTTTTTTCAGAAAATATCTGGTCACTCCATTAATAATACCTCTCTTGTACTCTTCATTCATTTGTGAAAATATTAAACATTTTAATAGTGATTAAAATTTTCAATCATATTCTTGGAATTATTCAGCTGTAAATGAATGAATTTACAATCGAGATATTTCTCTCGTTACACGTGCGGGACTTAATTTTGTTTCATATGAAGGAAGAAAATCTCTGTCATTATGGCACGAGTGTAATTTTATTACGCAATTTATTAACATACATTTAAATATGTTTGAATATTGAATTTGTAGAAATTTGAAGACTTCAAGGTCTACATTTTATGTCAAGAAAATAGGATTATTCTTAGTTTCATTGAGAATGTTTGTAGATTTGAGGGCAAATTGATCTTTTGTCTAGCTCAGTTTCTTACAATTCTTCAATGCTAGTCAATTAGATTCATTGATCTGACAGATGCAAAACATTAAAGGAACATAAAATTTCTCTTAAAATAATTTTCTTGCAATTTATTCTAATTTAATCGTACCAGAAAAATGTTTTCATGTAAATGTGGTAAATATTTCCTAGTAAGAAATCCTATAAAAAGTTATGACTTTACCTTCTGAGAAATATTTCAATGCAGAATTGTGTTAAATATTCAAAACATCTTATTCTGTGCCATAATGTTATATTTAAGAATTAAGACTTCTAGGAAATTCTTAAATTACCAACGGAAACCAGAAAAAAATGTAAATTTCACACTCATTTGTGTGATTTTACCTGCAAAATATCTATCCATGGTAACATTACTGACCTATCTAGTCAGCATAATATTACATAGTAATGCATAAAATTGCATGAATTTTTTTGCTACATTTCTTCTTATTTTTATTGTTATTTTTTACATTACAATTTTTTTATATTTCATGTGAGAAAAATAAGAAATCCCGTCTGTTTTTGTTTTTGGTCCATATTTCAGCGGGGCTGCAAACTTCGAAAAGAACTTTTCGGAACATTCGCAACAAACCGTCCTGCGCATGTGAATATTATGAATTCGATAGCATGTGAAAAGGAAGAAAGGAGTATCGTGATGCACATTTTCGAGAATCTCATTTAGTTGTTGAGAAACATTAGAATCGAGCGGTTATATTCGTCATTCATCGGCGATTTATAAAAAATAATATTTTAAAGTGAATGAGAAAAATGTGGAAAATTAAAAAAGCTTAAAAAAGGAAATTGAAAAAGTTTTGTACATGAAATAAAAAATAAAATGAGTTGTGAATCATTAAAAAAATTGAAATTAAATATTTAAAAGAAAATGAAAAATAAAAATTAAATTTGACTTCTGCTGACGTGCAGAACTTTGAGTCAATTTTTCGAGAGTGATTAAAATTTTACAATGCGATTCAGTGGTTTAAATCCAAAATATCCGGCTATATGTGGCCGTAGAAAAAAGGATCAAAATATTATTTGAGAGGGATATTAATGAATATCAAGTGAAGTGTCAAACTCTCTCCACAAATGTCTAATTAAATTAATATTCATAAAAAAGAACATTCAGTGGACAAAATCACATGAAAGAGATTAACACAAAAAGGAAGATAAAGTTTTTTTTTGTATTGCAGATTTTGTGGTATGTCGTGAATTTTTTTCTTCTCCTCATTCTCGAGTGATGTTCATTAACTTCGACTGGCTTTTTTTATTTGTCTTGTCACAATATAAATCTCTACGTATGTGCGTGTGTATGTGCGAAGCCGGCGAACCAACAAAAAAAATGAGAAAAGTCTACAGATTTGTGGAATTATTTTAGCGCGACTTTTTTGTGGAAATTTTTTTTTTTTGATTTTTTTAAAAACGTGTGATTTCAACAAAATTTCTGATTAATGTTAAGGTACAAAATACACCCTTATGTGTAAGGTCTATGAATTTATTTCTGACACACCCAGGCCCCCCCCCCCCCCCCCCCCCTAAATTAGGATTACGTAAATGAAGTAAAATTCTCGTCAGGATTCTGATATGAAACCAGAGAACCGTACAGGAAATATTTTTTTGGTCAATATTTTATTAATGCAGGTCCAAACCCGCTAGGACCCTTAGACTATTCAACTATTCGAACCACCAACAATTAATTCAAAACTCCACTCCAAAAGTCATCAACCTCTGAAGCTCCTCCATCCAATTTCAACCCGACAAAAAAAAATTTCTCATTCTTCCTGCAGAAAAAAACTCGTTAAAATCAACGCACGAAAAAAAAGTTGATATCCCCAAAATGAAATCATTGGCCACAAAAGACGCAGGATTATTTACAAATGAAATGATTTTCATTAAATTGATTAATGACAGTATTTTATGTGTCTTCTCATCGTCGCTTTCTCTTTTTCTGTAAGTTAATAAATCCTCTTGTCTCTCACATTGTGGCGTGTAAATGTGACGAAAAAAATGGAATTCATCAAATAAAGTTTCGTCTTTTCAATTCCAGTGAATATAAAGTTTTCCTTTCATACACTTTTTTAATAATAAATGAAATAAAATTGTAGAGTTAATAGATGTGATGCGAATCTAAAGTTATATGAGATTGTTAATAATGTATGAAGTTATAGATGGGGGTATGGCAAAGGTTTTTATTTCTATTCACTATATTTTTTTTTGTCTCTTTTAATGGAAAAAGTTGAAATGTAAAAGTTTCATTGAATTTATATGAAAAATTAGATGTACTTTTTTTATACAGTTTTTCTCATGATATATTGGAATGAGATCAATTTTAATTTAGAAGATTAGACTGTACTTTTTTTGCAAGAGTTGCTGAATAAATCATTGAATGATGTCGAGATAAATTTATGGGGAATGCAATTTATTATGAAATAGTGCTTCAAAGTCATAAATTTGCATTATAAACGGATGCTTCTAATGAACTTAAAATTAATAAATTATGGATTGATTTTTTAAAAAGTTGTGTTTTGAAATTGGTGCAACAAGGATTCATTAAAAGATTAAAATGCGATTCACAGCTAATGGCAATTTTCATCTAACTTCGAATCTTACGCGGAATTTATCAATTATTAATTAAAGTAAAAAGGAATCTCGAGACACGCACTGCAATGTAACCAAACAAATTTCGTTGAGTTCAAGAATAATGCCAAAGTTTTGATTCTTAATTGAAAAAAAATGGAATCGAAAGACGGCCTATTGATAGGGTTACCATCTAATTTTCATGAAAATACAGGACATTAGTTAAATTTTTTCGAAAAAAAAACAGGACATAGAGTAAAATTCGAAAATTAACGGAAATTTTCATGAAAAAAATACAGGACCAAGAACAAAATTTAAAAATTTATACAGGTCAGTCTTGAAAAAAACAGGACTGTCCGTTGAAAAACTACGCAGACGGTCACCCTACCTATTGAGGTCTAAACTTGAAAAATTCGCAAAAATCACCCTTACCCCCCAAGTTTTTTTTTGTCATAACTCTTCACAATTAATATTAAATTATAAAGATTAATATTACAGTTGTCAGAAAATTGCACAAAAGCTTACATTTTTGATGAATAATCTACAAAAACATTAAATTAAATATCAATCTATAAAGAGAAAAATTTAATTTATTTCAAAAGAAGCCATAAAAATTTGTTTACAATTTTATTTTGTTGTGACAAATTTCCAGGTTTCAGTTTTCATTTAATATCTTTACAATTATGTAATTTAATTTTCCCAAAATAAAAAATTCAATTCAATATTTTATTGTATTCAATAACAATGGTTAGAAGTTCTCGGAAATATTTTCATATAATTTGCTACATTGTAGGAACTTTACACAAACTTCTGTCTGTTATTTTAAAACTTCTTCCCATTCACAGAAACAATAAAAAAAAATATTCCTAATAATATGCCGTTAGCTATTGACAACTGATGTTCCATTTCCTCCTTGCCTCGCTTGTTATCAAATTTCGAAGAATTTTTAAAAGGGAAATTTTTATCGATAAAAAGAATGCAAAATATTTATCTTTGAATGACTGTAACATGACAACTGAAAAGTTTATAAATATTTTATTAAAAGATATACAATCGAAATTTTATCTTTATTTGGAGGAAGCTCGTTGAATGATTTTGAAATGAGTTGTCAATTTTCATAACAGGGATCATTGTTTTTAGTCGATAAGATGGTGCAAAAGTTTCTATCGAACTCATTTAAGTGTGTTTTTTGAAATAATAATTATCTTTAATTGAGGGGTGATTCAGATGGTTTGTAACATTGTGAATTGCTCAATTTACATTACAAAATTTATTAGCACACTTTTTAATTTTTTTTTTAAAAAAACTCTAGTTGAATCGCAGTGTTTTTAACTCAGCTAAAAACTCATTTAATCATCACATCAAATGAATAAAAAGTAAAAAAAAATCTACACAAACAAACCTGAAAGAATAAAAGTCATTTATATATCAAAACATCAGTAACGATGAATGAGAAATAAAAGAAACATCAGATTAGATTCGCTAGAATGAAAGCAAAAACTTTCAAGGTTGTAAAACTTCAAGCGAGAAAAAAGCGGAAGAAGAAATAAAAAGAAAAAGGATCAAATTTGATAACGTGAAACCATTCAATTGATATTTCTTTCATACACAAAAAAAAACTCTTTTTACATTCATGACAATGAAGCAAGCTCATTACACTTCTTTCAATTGTCATAAAAACGTGGTTGCACATATGTCTTTATCCTATAAGAAATCCAAGTTGAGATATAAAAAAAAATTTCCATTTGTTTTTCCTCACGAAATTTTTTTGTCTTCAGACGTGACAAATCTATTTTCCATATAACTTTTCTACAGATAAGACAATTGATAATGACATGTAAGTAGTTATTTTGGGAAGGAAGGGGTAAGGATTTTTGGAATAGGCACATGCTAACTTGAAGGAATCATTTATTTATCACAGATAAAGACACCTTGGATTTGCTGTTTGATGGACTATTGAGTACATCTATAAGTTTTATCTAAGAGAATACCTAGCAACTGACGACTAGTCAAAAAACTTGCAAAAAACCTAATGCAAATCACTAGCAATAGTTTAAAAATGGATTAGCTTGTTTAAAAAATGAATTCAAATCTAATTGTCATCTCCAGCGTGTTCTTAACCTTCAATTATATTGATTTTCGGCGAGCAAACTTTAAAGGTACCCAACCCTTGGCTCAATTTATCATCCAATTCAACATAAACATTCGTTCCGTTCACTTCAGTCTCAATGTTTCAATTGTAGGATCAGAAAGTTAAAAAGGCAATTGATTTCTTCTATTTATTTTCACTTCTACTATGACATAGACAGGGGATAGGAGCTTGAAGGAAAGTAAAGATATAAAAGTAGATTAACTTCTGTAATGAAGATTTCTTGAAAGTTTTCAAATAAGAGATTAATCAGGTAAAGCCGAAAAGTAATGATTGATGTGCTCCTTGTAAATGAAAAAGCATTGTGCTTACCAAGATAGCAACTTAGCTGTAAATTTGCAAATTATGGTCCTCATGTGGCGTTCAAAAAGCGATAAAGTAACAATTTGCTGCAATGTAACATCCGGGAATTAATCAGAATCTTCAGCAATTTTAAAAAGAGGAGAAATTTCTGCAATTTATAACAACAATAAAGCGAATTAACAAAATTGATAAAAATTATGCCCCTAGAAATTCTATATTTGTGCCATAAAATATATGCTTCAGAAAAAAAGATGAAGAAAAATGTTTGGTTGTCATCGATTTTTCATATGGCCTATAATTTCTTATTTTTAGATATGGGAAAAATATGCTTTCACTTGCTTGAATATTATCGCCTTCTACAAGTACCATATGCTGTTAACAGGCAATGGACTTTTGTGTACAATTTTCACAGCTTTTATCGATATCGGATCGATTTTTTCTTCATTGAAAAAAGGGTCAATATTAAATGTTGAAATTAAAGCATCAGAAATTTTGAGAACGGAAACGAAACCGTTGAATATTTTTTAGTTCCAAGCATATACGAGACTTTTCAATTTACAATTCAATAGAAAGGTTATTTTCGGAAAATATCCAATCGAGTTTCATAAACATCAATTAAGGATTCTTTTATAAATTTTTTCCTATTCAATTTATAAAGGCATCACATAATTGGAAGTCTGTTAGATAATTTAAAATAATGAATTGCATTCAGATGATCAAAATTCTTTGCACTCTCGAATATATGTTTGTGGTGGAGCGGGAAGAGAGGAGGATGTGAACAGTTGAGCTGAACAACATTATTTTGGGTTTGGTACCCTATCGCAACCTACTCAACTCAAGCTAAGGGTCCACTAGTTTAGATACTTTTGAAAAGGGGATGTGAAACTCTTTTGTTCGGAAAAATTTTAAGGTTATCTTTCTAGCCATGAGTTTAACTTAAGCACTCCTGAACCTATGTCTTTGCATTTGATATGATGTTCAGCCCGATTGGACATAATCTCCACTCTACTCAAAACATCAAAAACATTTTTCTCTTTAACATAAAAGAGCATTAGCTAATTGGATACACAGACATCCAAATGGCGTGAAATGGAGACGAAAAATTTAATTAACGTTCTAGACGACAGAGAAAACAGGAATTTACGTAATGGCTAGAATGTATTATGTCACTAGACAGCATTTTTATCCCACTTACAATTCATTTTTCACCTTTAAATGATTTTGTTTACCTCCCTATTGCTCACTCTACACTTATGGATAGAGCATGAAAAATTTGTTTACATAAAACAAAATAAAGAGTTGAGAGACGGCAATAAAATTGATGATATGTTTGCTGGCAAAATATAAACAATTTTGCATGAAATGGGGGAAATTGCAATGCTTTTCGTCTATGCTTATAAAGTCAATATATAGCTGTAATGAAATAAATTTGTTTAGTTGAGCATCAATGAAATATTTGCTATAGTCACGCGAAACTGCTTAATTAAATTTGATTTATTTCTTATTTTTTCATATAGTCTTTGGAATAGCTGATTGGCAGAGTTTGGTCCAATTAAAATTTATTATTTAAAAAAAAAAGTAACAAGCTGTACATTTTGTTGTCAGTAGCAACTTTTTTGCATGTACTTTTATTGAAAATTTTTGATGTAATCAAAACATATTTTTGGCACGACTTACATTTGGTTACTTGGTTCCATAACCTGCCAATTCAATATTCCATGGAAATATTAATTAATGATTTTTCATATACAGCTTTCAAGTTCTTGTGTTGATGAAAATTTACTCACGTTTCTAATCAAGTGATTGACGTAAATCGTTTTGACACATGTTGCATATAAGTTCACACTTATCAAATTGCTAGGTTACTAAATTTTTGGAAGGTATTATTTTTTAACTCAGTTCTTATTTTAAAACATACACAAAAAAAAATTCGAGGAATCATTAGAAATTTTTTTCTCAAACGCCAGAAGCCATACTAATACGCACATACATGTTTATTTCCCTCTAATTAATTTTGTTATTTCATGACAGCTCATAAGCACACATAATTGCTCGTCTCTAACGTGAATTAATGTTGTCATGTCAATTGATTAACGCATTTCTTAATTTGAATGATATCATCAAATGTTCTTGACTTGAGGCATAAGGCTTCAATTTTAAAATTTTTAAAAAATATTCAAATCTTAATGCAAAGCTAGCATCTCACAAATCTATCAATTAGAGTCTCGTACAGAGTCAAATAGAAATTCCAACCTTAAATTAATGTCTTCAACTATTGCGTCTACACTCCTTAAAGGCTAAATTGACATGACTTCCTAACCTTGATAATTTTGTTTACTCCTTCAAAAGGCATTCGACTGTTTAATTAAGCTCAAATGAAAATGAAGGAAATTGCCATAAACATGTGTATAGCATAATGAGAAATTTAGTGGAATGAACTGTATATTAATTGACATCAGATGATGAGCTTTAACCCAATTAATTAAGCGTCGGAATGAATTAAATCATTAAAAAAGTAAAATAAAATTGATGAGAAATCGAAAAATGTGAAAGACTCGATCATTGAACAATTTATGAGACTTAAGGAAGAATATGAAGTTCTCGATATACAATAAAGCACATCAATCATATCGCATAATGTGTTGATGATTTAATGTATTTGATAAATATATAAAAATGTGTGCGTGTGTGTGTGTGTGTGTGAAAATACACTTACACAAATGTAGAAATAAGTGAATAGATGTGCTCACATCTGGAATAAATTAATTCGTCATGAACATGTTACATGAATATATCGATAATCGTACAACAAGCTGCTGCTAAATCCTGTATATGATCACATTTCGAGCCCGAATACGTGAATCCATAAAGAATATTGAGAGCAAAAAAAAGTTTTTTACGTGAAGGTTTATCAGTCATACAAATTCATCGCAGACATCAATTTATCCATCTTGTAGACAATTCCTTTCCGTCAGCTACACCAACTGTTTTGATACGACATAAAGGAAGGTGTACATATACATTTAAGAAGACGGAGGAAAAAAAAGTGTGATTTAAACATATGCTACGGAAAATTTTAAGAAAATTCAGCAACATGCCGACATGTTTAATCATATTATTTTTCCTGATATTAAATTCAGGTAAGTGAAACTGATACTTTACATATTTTTCCATTATACTGAACATTTTAATATAATTTTGTACATGTTAAAATTTTCGGTCTTCATCGTCACTTTTTTGTGTCATTTATTAAACGATATGTTTGCTTATGGAACCGAATAAGGTGTGCTTGCAAGAAAAAAAGGCAAAAACACTTTGTTAGGGAAGGTTCTGTATCATTTAACTTGATATGCAATTTGATAATGTTTCACTAGAACATTTTTCATGGATAATTAGGTAGAATGGATTGCTTAATCAAAATATTTGTTACATTGAGACAGAAATGGTGAAAATTAATGAAGCTTTTTACTTTATGATGGACTGGTAAATGAGTCCAATTCCTAATTTTTAAAGGAAGGTCGATGAGGAATTTTCGTTGAGGAATCTTAATTAGATTTTGAGATTTTTTGTGAAATTGATTCTAGGAAAATAACTGAAAGGCACACGGCATTGAGAGCCATTTTTACGCTGTGAGCCTTTCGGTATAATTAAGTCCATATCGAAAATAAGCTTTAATCCATTTAGAATTTATGAAATTATTTGACACTTGAAAGTGATTCAAATCTGCTTTTTTAAGGCTTCATCCTTTACTAATCCATCATTTTGAATATTTTAATGGATTCTATAATTTAATCTTTTTCAAATTTTTGTTCTTAAAAATCCTAGCCATAAGAGTACAAGTCAGTTAATTGAATAGAAATCTGGCATCCAGTCAGCATGACTCTGGTTTGATGCTAGCTTCGATTTTAAATCCAGCACCATGCCAAAATTACACCGAATTGTGCCGGATTTCTGATCCATCAACCGACTTGTGCCATTCGGGTAGATTTAAATGAGATTTATTTGATTAGTTAAATCTAAAACTTTGATTATAATCTCACAAGTCATGAATTAAATTTAAGGCATATGAAGCAACAGCCCGGAGCAATTCAACCTCCAGTAGTTCTGATTTAATTTAAAATTATTGTGTAGCTACAAATAAATCTTTATTTTGTGTATTGCGTAATTTGTGAACGAGCCTTTGAGTTTCCGTCTTATTCACAACTTAAATCTCAATAAAATTTGTCAGAAATATATGAACTAAAAGTTATTCCAACTCACATGAACGCCGCCATGATTAACCACATATTTTGTAGCATATTAATTCAGTAAATTAAATTAATTTAATTGTATAAACTTTTTTAATTTCCAAAATTATAAAAGCAACCACAATAAGCTTTTTTTAAAGTTCTTCATGGGATTTATGAATTTTTACAGTTAGTAAAGTTTTGAAATTATTATTATTAAATTAAAATTCTCTTATTAAAACTTTATCAATGCATATTATTTATCGTTTATGAACAAAATGTTCCATAAATAAAGCAGAGAGTTGTAATAATTTTCCTGTTGGGATTACAGAACAAATCTGTTAGATATGCTTATGATTATTTCATATAAAATTTAAAGTTTTTCTTATTTTGTGGAAAATTCAAATAGTTTTAAGACAGGATAGACAGGAAATTTAAATTTTATTTATTTATTCATGAATGCATGAGCAAAGTGGTTTCGTCTGAAGGAAATTGAGTTAGAAATTCTGATTTTTGGTCTTGCTAGTCATGCAATATGTGTGGGAAGTTATATGAACACGTGGAGTCTTTGGTATACTGGAATTATTATGTGGATAACCAAAATAGGAAATTACTTTTTGATATTCTTGAATATTAAGTCTTATGTGGGTTCTGCATCTGAATTATTGGAAGCTTTAATTATTTTTAAAAATCTTTAAATTTGCAGCATAAATTAAATGTCCTTTTAAAGCTAATTAAATTAATTTACAGAACGCTGCTTATGTAATTAAAGAGTGAAATTAATTTGCATTACATTAATTATGACATCGCAATTACTGTGGCTTCCTCAATACCACAATCTGTAATTTAACATAATACAATCTATATTAAACACACTAAATATTTAAATGTCAAATAATCAATATTTATTTTTATTTATATCATAAATATGATATCTTTATTTTCGGACCGTATCTGATTTTCAAAAATAATATTATGTGATATGAAATATTTATAAATAAAAATTATTAAGAAGAATATCGTAAATTTAAACCAAAAATAGCCTAGCAGAAAAGCTCGTTTGCAAAAAAAAAGATCAATTAGTCTATTAAAGAGATGTGAGACTGCTACAGCTAAGGATTCTAGATCACTAAATGTGTGTAGTCATGTAAAGCAAGTCTAGTTTTAAGGACATCATACTAATATTTTATAAACGATAATCCCATACTCCACAGTCAGAGATCTTCTCGACTCGGACACACCGAGTTGGTTACCTTCAATCAACTTTAGCTGATTATAGCCGTTCCCAAAAGAAAATTAAATATTGAAATGTGAAATTCATACAGAAAAGGGGCCGTTCACTTATGACGTCCGGAGGAAGGGTGGGGGGGGGGGGGGGGTCAGCAAGAAAAGAACAATAGAAATTCCAGGAAATCCATTGTTCTTTTATGAAAAATGAAAGTTAATTTCGGACGTCATAAGTGAACGACCCCAAACATCATTTCCAACTCAATCTTCGAATTAAGCACCTCAAACTTCAAAACCCCTTGCTACATCACTGCCCAGGTTTTGAACAGAGCTAGACAAAATTCACGACAGAACAAGCAAATAAAAAGAATCAACCTCACCTTTATTACATATTCTTGACCAACACATTTCTTAGCTCACTGATCAATCGAAATAAGAAGAAAGAAAGCAGACGAGTCAAAATATGAGAATTGATTAATTTTAGATATGAATGAATCGACTGTTGTCTAGGTTAGTACAATGACATTTTTAAACCTTTTATGAAATGAGAAAAAGGATTATCCGCTAGGCTAAACAAAATGTCTGCTGTTCATTCTCAAGTTTGATAGAAAAATAAGGCAAGCATTCATTCATAAATCTGCCCATTATTGTAATGACTTTTTACCAGCAAAAAATTTGTATTATTGAGATATTAATATTTGAAGAAAGAATTGTTTGGGTTTGCAAATTGTTTATTATTCTTCTGATAACTGGTATGAGGAACTATGAGCAGCTTTTCTGTCTGTATGTTCTGTTGCTATAGTGAATAATGAGCTAAAGAGTTATGAATGAAGGGTTCTTAGTTTTAGATGTAAAATTATGAAAAATAAGGATTCTAAAAGTGGGATGAGGGTTAATTAGGCTGGTAACAAGTTAAGCGTCAGCGGAGTCAAGAGGGGTCCTGACCCCTTCTGAGTAAATTAATATAAAATAATTCCGAACCCCCTCTCGCCATCTTCAAGCTATATCCTTGTTATAGAGTTCCAAAGAAATTACCTTACAAACTAAAGTGAGCCTTAAATCCAAAATATGTAGACCGCCTTCAATGTCATAAAACTTTCAATTTGCAAAAACAAATCTGATCAAAATAAAATCAGCAAATTGAATAGAATTTCCAAATAAAATGCCTTTCAGATTTCCATCCCAATTATCCCCTCAAAAGGTAAAAATATGCGCGATTACCTATCATTTACTTATCTTTCAGACCATTTAGACATCTCATTTTGCAATAATCCAGTGGAAAAAGATGATAGAAGCAGGTAAAAAAATGACAAATAAAATTGAACATAAAGAGCAGCAGTAAGAACGAAAGAAGGAAATCAATTTGTATTTTATTGGTTTTTAATGTGCCATTGATGGCTTTGCTCGTCGTTTTTTTTCGGTTTGATATTAAAATAACACAAAAGGTGTGCGATTTCTTACTTTTAAGCCGTAAATTACTGAAATCATTTTTCATTTTTCATTTCTCTTGTTTTATTACATCGACAGAATCCGTTAAATCGCTGAGGGATTTCGCATCTATCCAGTGATTTTTTTGAAGAGGGTTCATTGGTTAGGAAGTATAAAATTTGGACCAGTTCGAACTCTCCAGAGAATTCATTTTCTGTTTGAGATAGGAAAATTAATGCTTTTTCTCAATTTCACATCTCAAGTAAGTGTGCTGATTGCACCAGAGAACTAGTCCATGATAAAGTTTTTCCTTTCTAATCAATCAATCTGAAGAAATCCTTTATCAATATTTAATTTTCTTGAAGCTTCACGATGTTACGATAGTTGAAAAAATAGTTTGACAGTTGCTCGGTGTCGCTCTTGCTGTTCTGATAGTTATATATAAAAAGTTTTTAATTGAAGTTTTAAATTATAATTTTAGTTCATTTAAAGTTTCTAAGTTGGAAGTAAGGAGACAAGCTTACAATTTTAAATAACATTGTTAATTTACTGGAGCTTCTACTAGAGTTATTGCTTCATTAGATTGATTTTCGTTCTATTTTTTAAATTTTTACTAAGAGCGTATTTTAAAATGAGGGGAGAGAATGACCCTCTGATTGGAGGGAGGGGCAGTCCTTGAACTTCACAAATTTAAATCAAATGATTGTAATCGATAATGCTGTTTACTCAACTTCTTTATTATTACCAATAACTGTCATCACTTTTAGCCATCAATCATTCTGTCAAAAATCTCCAAAATTTCTTAAAACTTTTTCACAAGAATGTCCATAGAATCCAAAAATCTTAAGTTCGCAAAAATAAATTCAGCTTGTACAAAAATACTTCAATCAAAAAAAAAAGGAAATCCACTCGATGTCATAATTAAAACAATGAAAATCAAGAAGAATTAATGAAAAAGAATTTCAGATTTTCATAAAAAAACTCGACTAAAGAAAATTAAAAAGTTTTTGCATCGCTTAAAAGCTTCTTCTTTGAGCCTTAAAAATAAAAAAAAAAATATTTCCTGTTGTGTCAATTCATGGATTTACAAGAAATACGTAAATTTTAAGCCACCAAAATTGGATGACGAAGACACCTTATGAGCCTCGATTCAATTACTGTCTTGGAGAAATTCGTTTCCCTTCTCTAATCCAATTATTGGCACCATACAGAAGAATTTGTCAAACATACAAGGACTTGAAAATTGGAATATTTTTTTT